GCCTCCAACCTCATAGCGATGGCCTCTAACCTAATAGTGATGGCCTCCAACCTCATAGCGATGGCCTCTAACCTAATAGTGATGGCCTCTAACCTCATAGCGATGGCCTCCAACCTAATAGCGATGGCCTCTAACCTCATAGCGATGGCCTCTAACCTCATAGCGATGGCCTCCAACCTAATAGCGATGGCCTCCAACCTCATAGCGATGGCCTCCCACCTAATAGCGATGGCCTCTAACCTCATAACGATGGCCTCCAACCTAGAAGCGATGGCCTCAAACCTAATAGCGATGGCCTCTAACCTCATAGCGATGGCGTCCAACCTAATAGCGATGGCCTCCAACCTAATAGCGATGGCCTCCAACCTAATAGCCGCGATGGCCTCCAACCTAATAGCCGCGATGGCCTCCAACCTAATAGCGATGGCCTCGAACCTAGAAGCGATGGCCTGAAACCTGAAAGCGATGGCCTCCAACCTGAAAGCGATGGCCTCCAACCTAGAAGCGATGGCCTCCAACCTAGAAGCGATGGCCTCCAACCTAGTAGCGATGGCCTCCAACCTCATAACGATGGCCTCCAACCTAGAAGCGATGGCCTCAAACCTAATAGCGATGGCCTCTAACCTCATAGCGATGGCGTCCAACCTAATAGCGATGGCCTCCAACCTAATAGCCGCGATGGCCTCCAACCTAATAGCGATGGCCTCCAACCTAATAGCCGCGATGGCCTCCAACCTAATAGCCGCGATGGCCTCCAACCTAATAGCCGCGATGGCCTCCAACCTAATAGCGATGGCCTCGAACCTAGAAGCGATGGCCTGAAACCTGAAAGCGATGGCCTCCAACCTGAAAGCGATGGCCTCCAACCTAGAAGCGATGGCCTCCAACCTAGAAGCAATGGCCTCCAACCTAGTAGCGATGGCCTCTAACCTCATAGATGGCTTCCAACCTAATAGCGATGGCCCCAAACCTAATAGGGATGGCCTCCAACCTAGAAGTGATGGCCTCCAACCTAATAGCGATGGCCTCCAACCTCATAGCGATGGCTTCCAACCTGATAGCGATGGCCCCAAACCTAATAGCGATGGCCTCCAACCTAATAGCGATGGCCTCTAACCTAATAGCGATGGCCTCCAACCTCATAGCGATGGCCTCCAACCTAATAGCGATGGCCTCTAACCTAATAGTGATGGCCTCTAACCTCATAGCGATGGCCTCCAACCTAATAGCGATGGCCTCCAACCTAATAGC